GAACACAAACAAATACAAAGAAAACAGACAGGGACAGAGCCTGTCATTCTGTCAGTGCTTATGCTGTGCTTTCTGTGACAGCTCAGCATTTCAAAATGTTGTCAGGAATGACAGTGACAACCCCATCTTGCAGCTTGTGAAAGCCATTACTGCAGATAGTGTGACCCCAAAGATATACTCACAGAGGGCAGAGCTGCTTAGTGCAATGTTTCAAAAAATCGAGTTGAAGTCTGGAGCCCATCAAATCGATGCCCAGTGCAATATCTCCACTGTCATTGGTAAAACAATGAGAAATGTATCAAGCATTTACCTGTCTAAACACTGCTCTTCTCAGTACTGCCAGCTAAACAAAGGAACAACTAGGGAAGTACCATTTGTTTCTCCTGACATTTCTGTCCTGATGAAGTCTGGCTTGGCTCAGCTTGGTACTTCAGTCGAAAATGGACTCTTACTTCCAGAGTCTACCTGCCTTCGCCAACTACAGAAAGAATCAGAATGTCCAGTTGCATTCAAAACAGGAGACAGCACGTCAGGGAAAATACTCTGCAGGAACTCTAACTCACAGCTACCAAATTGGAGAAATAGCATGGATTGTCACTGACCTCTTACAAACTACTCAGTTTACTTTGAGTGAATTTCCCTCCGTTGTGGCTCTCCAAGGAAAGACATTCACTTTGAGAGGAGTCATCGTTTTCAAGGGAAGCTTGACCAAAGATGTTATGGGACATTACACTGCATACTGCCGTAGAGCTCCATGTGTGTGGGAGCTTTATGATGACCTGGCAAAAGCAGTGAAGACAGTGTCAGAGAAGGAAAAAATTCAACCACATGCAGCATTATACACAGCAGACTGAATGCTGTGAATTAACACATTCCACTTGGAAGTTTTCAGAAGCCCAGGTCAAAAGCAAATAGTTTGTTATTGTTTGATATTATAATTTATTTATAGTCAGACCATAAACAGGTTGTGTTTTATGTTTTTTGTGACCAATTATTACATGGCAAAGTATGTTTAAGTGTACCAATGGTGGTTTATTGAAATGTTTTAGTTTGTAATTCTTTTCCTATTACATCTCTCAAAAATATTTTTTTTTCAAAGAGTTTGTATACCTGTTATATACAAAAGATATTAATTTACAATTATCAACAAGTCCCTTTTTCGTTTTGTTGTGACCATGTCTCAGTGTGAAAAAAAGATGTTCAATCTTTAAACATCAGAATGTTCAATTGTTAAAAAAAAATCATTTTCCAAAAGAAAAGTGTTTGTTATTCTTTGAAAGTATAATGTATATTACATTTTCAAACATTACATTGGATATATGTGTATTAGAAGTCATGGTTCATTACTTTTTTCAATTAATTATAATCGAAAACCTTTACTGCTCCACAATAAGGAAATTTTGGTGTCTGCAACAAACCATAAAGAAATGAAAGTATACAGGTTCATGACATTAAAAAGGTAGAAGATGTTCCAGGCTAAAAGTTATAACGAACAAAATGCAAAAACAAAAAGGCTGAATATGAGTTACAGTGAAGGACTGGAGAAATACAATACTGAGCGGGTAACAGAACGTTATTAATGTGCCCACCTAATGTGGATTTACCTTATTGTAAAACCCAAGTATGAAATGTTAAAGATTCCAATAAGGACACAGGTAAGTTTTGCTGGAAATGAGACAAGATTCAGAAAATTCTACATAATTTATTAAGCTTCAATAACGTCTTTAATTGCTGATAACCTGAATTTCATTAGTGAATACATTTAACAAAAATTTTTAGAAAAACAGCTACATTTCAAATGAAAATGAGACTTACCAATGGGGTAAGTACTGTAATGAGGGAAGGGACAACATCCAGCGCAGAGAAGAAAGGGATCACCCTGGACTCTTCAACGACAAAACAAAAAATAAAAAAAAAGGTAAAAAGAAAAAGGTGCTTGCACAAAACACACAAGCCCGGACAGTACCACCAGGTGTCACCACTGCCACCACAGAAGCATTAGTCTCTAAAAGAAATGAAAGAAACAATATGCGTAAACATTGGTGCAATGGCACTACAATGTTGCACTTTATCCCCTTAGTAGAGACAAGAATACTCACGACATGGGAAATTCAGCTTGATCTTTTACAGGTAGGCAAAACAGAAGCAGCCTCAATCCAGGTGTAATACTGGTCAGGAACTTGTTAAAAGCTACAAGACGGATGCCTAAAAAGTTGGGACACTAAACAAATTGTGAATATAAACTGAATGCAATGATGTGGAGTTGCCAACATCTAATATTTTATTCAGAATAGAACACAAATCACAGATCAAAAGTTTAAACTGAGAGAATGTATCATTTTAAGGGAAACGTATGTTGTTTCCAAATTTCATGGCGTCAACAAATCCCAAAAAAGTTGGGACAAGTCCATATTTACCACTGTTTCATCCCCCCTTCTTCTTACAACACTCAACAGACGTCTGGGGACAGAGGAGACCAGTTTCTCCAGTTTAGAAATAGGAATGCTCTCCCATTCATGTCTAATACAGGCCTCTAACTGTTCAATCGTCTTGGGCCTTCTTTGTCGCACCTTCCTCTTTATGATGCGCCAAATGTTCTCTATAGGTGAAAGATCTGGACTGCAGGCTGGCCATTTCAGTACCTGGATCCTTCTCCTACGTAGCCATGATGTTGTGATTGCTGCAGAATGTGGTCTGGCATTATGGTGTTGAAAAATGCAGGGTCTTCCCTGAAAGAGATGATGTCTAGATGGGAGCATATGTTGTTCTAGAACCTGAACATAGTTCTCTGCATTAATGGTGCCTTTCCAGACATGCAAGCTGCCCATGCCACAAGTGCTCATGCAACCCCATACCATCAGTGATGCAGGCTTCTGAACGGAGCGTTAACAACTTGGGCTCTCCTTGTCCTCTCTGGTCCAGATGACATGGCGTCCCAATGTTCCATAAAGAACTTCAAATCGTGACTCATCTGACCACAGAACAGTCTTCCATTTTGCCACACTCCATTTTAAATGACCCCTGGCCCAGTGCAAACGTCTGAGCTTGTGGCGCTTGCTTAGAAATGGCTTCCTCTTTGCACTGTAGAGTTTCAGCTGGCAACGGCGGATGGCACGGTGGATTGTGTTCACTGACAATGCTTTCTGGAAGTATTCCTGAGCCCATTCTGTTATTTCCTTGACAGTGGCATTCCTGTTTGAGGTGCAGTGACGTTTAAGGGCCCGGAGATCACGAGCATCCAGTAGAGTTTTACGGCCTTGACCCTTACGCACAGCGATTGTTCCAGATTCTCTGAATCTTTTGATGATGTTATGCACGGTTGATGATGATAACTTAAAAGTCTTTGCTATTTTACGCTGGGTAACACCATTCTGGTATTGCTGCTCTATCTTTCTGTGCAACAATGGTGGAATTGGTGATCCTCTTACCATCTTGGCTTCTGAGAGACACTGACACTCTGAGAAGCTTTTTTCATACCAATCATGTTGTCAATTGACCTAATTAGTGCTAATTAGTCTTCCAGCTGTTCGTTATATGCTCAATTTACGTTTTCCTGCCACTTAGTGCTACTTGTCCCAACTGTTGTGGGATTTGTTGACACAAATTTTGAATCAACACATTTTTCCTTTAAAATGTTACATTTACTCAGATTAAACTTTGATCTGTCATCTATGTGCTATTCCAAATAAAATATTGACATTTGTTATCTCCACATCATCGCATTCAGTTTTAATTCACAATTTGTTTAGTGTCCCAACTTTTTTGGAATCCGGTTTGTAAAAATAAAGCGAATTATTAATACAACTGCTGACGAGAAATACAATTTACAGCAACTGCTTACCTGAGACATGGTCAGTTACCCCACTGACAAGCAAACGGATCCCAAATTCCACCTATGCAGTACAGCTGTAACAAAAACCTATTTGAAGGCTTTGTTTACATGGGGAGAACCTGGCCACAATAGCCCTTCACTTCCTGTCAGTAAACAAACAAACGGACAGATCGGTCTATACGTTGGAGATGCAGCAGAGGAGGCTGAACAAATAGACCAGTTAACATTATATCTGGTATTAAAGCCGACAAACATTGAAACAGCCACGCTTACCCAGCACGGTGCAAAGAAAGCAAATGGAGTTGATGTCACGACGCAAGAAGCCTCACAACAGGTGAGGGCTTGCTTATATGCAGCAGCCAAAATTGGCCTTAAAGTGGCAACGTCATCGGGGCGAAATTATAATTCTTAATATCTCATAAACTAAAGCTGCACAAACGCTAGTTTCACCGGAACAA